GTGAAGGGGTTTCAGGGGGACCGTGAAGGGGTTTCAGGAGGACAGTGAAGGGGTTTCAGGGGGACCGTGAAGGGGTTTCAGGAGGACAGTGAAGGGGTTTCAGGGGGACCGTGAAGGGGTTTCAGGGGGACCGTGAAGTGGTTTCAGGGGGACCGTGAAGTGGTTTCAGGGGGACCGTGAAGGGGTTTCAGGGGGACCGTGAAGGGGTTTCAGGAGGACAGTGAAGGGGTTTCAGGGGGACAGTGAAGGGGTTTCAGGAGGACAGTGAAGGGGTTTCAGGAGGACAGTGAAGGGGTTTCAGGAGGACAGTGAAGGGGTCAACACATTTTGGGCTATTTGCAATGGTTAATAAGTCTAGTAGTTTAATTTTAAAGTCAATGAGCAATCTAAGAAAAGTATTAAAAAAATTGTGAAGAGGCCGTCAGGCAAGAATTCCTAAGAATAGATACATACGAGTGAATGGAGCAATGGGGCGGGCAAAGAAACGGGTCAGGAGGAAGCTAAAAATATTTCTCGCCAAAATAATTGTTTCGCTTGCTTCACTGGATTCATTTATGGTGTGTGCGTGTGTGTGTGTGTGAGAGAGAGAGAGAGAGAGAGAGAGAGAGAGAGAGAGAGAGAGAGAGAGAGAGAGAGAGAGAGAGAGAGAAGAGGGGGGGTGTGTGTGTCTTTTTTTCAAGCCGGTTTCCCTGACTGGTCTTCGTGTCATCAATTATCATACGCCATACAGCTATTTTAATCCGGCTGACTAACTATGCTGCACCAACACGGGCCAGCTGTGTCCAGCCTACCCCTCCTCCCCCACCTCTTACCGTAACGGAGGTTGATAACAGTATCGCGCCAACCCTATTGGCCAGCTGAGTCCACCCTTTCCTTAACGGTATTTTATTTAAGAGGGACCAGAGATTATGCTTTTTTTTTTTTTTTTTTTTCAATCGGACCAAACAGTGCTGACTGAAAGGAGACAGGTCGGTTTACATTAAGTGGCAGAACTGATTTCACTAAACAAGCACTGAACAAGTATTACGGATATTAAGATGACTATTCAGCATTATGTGTTATAAATTTTGACTCCGTCTTGCCTCTTCCAATATGTCAAGTTTCATACGAGCGAGGTTTCTCAAAACTGAAATGTATTTTTAAAAAGTCAACTGAGATCTAATTTATCCAGATAAAAATTGGAAGCATTCATGGTGGTCGAGCAAAAGATGGGGAAAACACCGTTCAACACTTCGGGCGATTCGGAATGGTTGCGTCATTTACCGCAGACAGACCCGGCAGTACTGTCATTTACCGCAGACAGACCCGGCAGTACCGTCATTTACCGCAGACAGACCCGGCAGTACCGTCATTTACCGCAGACAGACCCGGCAGTACCGTCATTTACCGCAGACAGACCCGGCAGTACCGTCATTTACCGCAGACAGACCCGGCAGTCCCGTCAGTTACCGTTGAGACCCGTCAGTACTGTCGGTTCGAAAAAGGGTATTAAAAAAGATTTGATTGTCGGAAAGTTTGAGGGCATGGGATGTTACGCTCCATTAATATCAAAATATCGACGCACTCTACCTGGGCTGCATATTCCATTGATAAACGCACTAAGGCTTGTGTTTTCCCTGGGTGGGGTGCACTTCAGATTTTCGGGGGAGCAGTGCCATTGGGCAGGGGCCAGAGACGTAGCTAACGGTGTCAGAGGTGACGTAAGTCCCGGAGCGCCAGACCAGAGGGGGCACCTAAACAGGCTTTGATAGTATTTAATGACTGAAAATAATTAGTTTCAGAGTAGTTTGGGGGGGGGGGCGGCATTAAAATAAATCATGTCCCTTGACGCAAAACACTCTATCTACGTCCCTTCGAGTTGCGTATTAAGGAGGAGGATAAGATTGTTCACACAGGTATCAGTTTTTCTTGATTATGGAGGTGCGGCATTTTCGGACAACTGCAGATATTGTATCGTAAAAGGAGCTGACTCTTCAGACCAAAGTCAGAATTTTCAACACAAATGTCAAAACAGTCCTACCATATGAGGCAGAAATTGAAGAACAGCGAGCATTACACAGAACTTACAGATCTTTATAAAACCTAGCCTTATTGAGAATCAAATAGTCAAACACCATCACCATCAATGACTTACTAGAAAGGGCATACCTGGAGCTTATAGCTGAAGACATCATAAGGAAATATGATGGATAGGGCCCACTCTCCACAAACCCTAGATAGCATCACCAGACAATCCTTAACATGAAATCCACAGGGATAAAGAGGAAGCCCTGAAAATACATGGAGACGGAAGCTAGAGGCAGACACACAAAGTATGGAATACACCTGGAAGCAACTAGAAAGGAAAGCACATGGCCGAGATTATCCCCAGGATCTTTTTAATGATTTCAAAATTCATATTTAGATTTTGGAGTGTAGTTTAATTCAGTGTTTCCATTGGACTTTCTGATCAGGGGAAGGAAATTTGTAAGGGACTGGGGAGGAATTATGGTGCCAGTGCCATATATAAACTGAAATCACTCCAATTGTGGCGTGCCGCGGGATAATGGTTTGACACAAGCTTATACTCAACCCTTTACTGTAGCATTGATCAGCGTGGGGGAAGGGGTTTAGAAATAGAAGGTGCTGAAGACATTGGCGCAAATTCAAAATGCAGAGGTTGCATTTTGGCGCATACTTGAATTCGATGTTTCTTCCAGATAATTTTGAGGTGATATTTCAAACTTTCACGTGTGAAATTCCAAAATTAGCCATAAGAATGATCAAAGACTTTCTGAGCACCGCACCATCGAGACATGACCTACATTCATTCAAATTGTGGCACCCTTGAGGTTATGCTTTTTCCCTAGCCACTAAATCTTTACACTCCCCAGAAATTGTTTGATAAATTCAAAATAAAATAATTCTTTTCAGCAAATAATTTTAATTTAGTTTTGAAACATTCTACAATTGAAGGGCAACCGAAGAGATGCTAGTTTAAAAAAAAAAATAATGTAGGTGTCACTTCACCTTAGAAACATCGTGTGAGCCAAGCGACCCCAAGGACTGCAGTGGGCCTCGGATAGTTTAGAGCTTAAAGATGTGATGTGAATATTTTCTTACTTATAATCTTTCAATTCATGGTGGCGGAGGACTAAACCAAATACTGCCCGAAAGGGTACGGCGTTCTCAATCCGCCACTGACCACTGGTCGCTCGCCAGCAGCCATCACGTTATAGTTCGATGAGACATGAGCCTGGTCTGATTAGAACCGTATTGATTTTACATAAACAAAAACATTTTATCACTTCCTTATGTCCCCCCTCCCCCTCTCTCTCTCTCCCTCTCCCTTTAACTTTACACCCATCCCTCGCCTCAACTCACTCTTTCTCTCTCTCTCTTTCTCTCAACCCAAGTTCTTTAGGTTTCTTCTCCTGACCTGTTACTAGTATCAAAAATCCTAAACTTAAAT